CTTCGTGATTTCACGGATTACCGGGTTATACGGGCTTAAGTTTGCTAAATCGTCTGCTCTGGCGGATGATTTTCTTACTTAATTTCATATAATTGGTCGGTTCTGTTACAGGACGTAGCTGCTCAAACTGAACGGACACAGCAACCCCAGCGTCCGGTCGGTCGAAGACTAACGCCTGCACGCTCTTTGCCACCACTGATCGGACGCAGGACCCTAGTGTTTGGTTACCACGTGACCAGCGTCCGGTCCACTCTGTGAGACCCTGTCTTTTCTGTATAGGGCACCGGTGGCACCGTTGGACTGTCCGCACTCTACGAGCGGGCACTCCACCGGTGGAGTTCCTAACCCTTCTCGCCTCCGTTTCATCGCCGAGTTGATCACATCAACTCCAACTTCATCTCCTTTATAAATGTGCCAACACCACCAAGTGTACACCATCATGTGTATGTGTGTTAGCATTTTCACAATTATTTTCTAAAGGATTAGCCACTCAACTTGCCACGCCACTTAATCCTAGCGACGATGCAAAGTTAGATCACTCGAGTGGCACTAGATGACCGATATGCAAACAAGTTTGCCCCTCTTGATAGTACGGCCATCTATCCTAAACCCGGTCATCAACTTCTCTACACACCTATAACTGGTGAAATGAAATGCCCTAGGTTATACCTTTGCCTTGCACATTCCATTCCATCTCCTCCAATGTCGATGCAACACATGCACCAACATGATCAACAATGATATGATCCACTTCATATCATCATGTGATCATATTCGTTCATCGATCTTGACTTCGCTTGCTTTTCATCGTTGCCTTCGTCCACTCGGCGCCAAGTCTTGCTCAAGCTTCACCGCCACGCGGTCCATCGCTCCAAAGCCTCTGACTTGCCCTTCACGCTTGCAACCGGTCCATCAAGCCAAATTTTGTCTTGATCTTCTCCACCTTGATCACATGACTCAATGTCATGTCTCATGTGCAATAAGCTCCTTCATCATCACATGTGTGAGCTTTGCAACATCTCTAAGTCATTTTCACCTTCATGACATATGTTGCTCACACACATGTACCTATGGATTAATCACCTGTGTATCTCACATAAACACAATTAGTCCACCTAGGTTGTCACTCAATTACCAAAACCACACAAGGACCTTTCAGGTGTTCATAAGTAGCTCACTTTGAAGATGCTTGCCTCTTGTGAACTTGCTCAATCCAATCTTAAGGTGCTCTTTCTCCAACTTGAGCTTCTTGTTTTCTTCCTTGAGAGCATCATTGTTCTTCTCTTCCTTGAGCTTCTTGTTTTCTTCTTTGAGCTTCTCATTCTCAAGAATCAAGTCACCATCATGATCAAGAGTTTCTAGCACTATGGTGTTGTGGCTTTTAATCTCTTCAAGATCTTTCTTGAGCTTTGCATTATCATTCTTGAGCTTGACAAACTTATCATAATCATCGGCCTCAACCACTTGCTTGCTCTTGCTACTAGAACTTTGCTCAATGCTCTCAATGATCAAATCATCACATGATGTAGCTATATCAATCTTAACAACATTGTTAGTAGCATCATGTGGCTCATTAGATAAAAATTCTTGAGCAATTACAAGATTATCATGATTAATCTTAAGAGTAGTGTATTTTTCTCTTTAGCTTGTTGTGGCTAGTGATGAGCTCATTGTGCATCTTCTCAAGTTTATTATGTTTATCTTTAAGCTCTTTCTTAGAAGATTTGAGCTCCTTGAGTTTGGATGATATAGCATCATTTGTTTCTCTAAGCTCAACACTAGCATTTTCCGCTATATCACATTTTACTAAAAGTGAATCATTCTTAGCTTCTAGCTTTTTATTCTTAGCTCTAGTCTTTATAATGATCTTAGTGTATTGTTTTAGCAATCTAGCAAGATCATCATAAGAAGGTGATTCATATTCATCATCATCACTATTGCTATCATCATTACTAGCATGTTCATCACCACTACTATCATCATCATTTGATATCTTGCGTTCAACCTTGGCCATAAGGCATAGGTGTGTAGAGGATGATGGTGGTAGTGGCGGTGAAGATGATGATGAGTCAATAACAATGGCGGCCACATTCTCGTTGTCACTATCATCATCGGATGAGCCACTAGATGAATCAATGTCCGTGAGCCAATCACCGACGATGTAAGCCTTTCCACTCTTCCTCTTCTTGTGGAAGTCCTTCTTGCCATCTCTCTTTTTGTATGGCTTGTTCTTTTTCTTCTCATCTTCATCTTCATTGCTTGAGTCATCTTTCTTGCCCTTGTATTTGTTCTTGAACTTGTCTTTCTTGGGCTTGGTGTATTGGTGTGCTAGATGACCAAGTTTTCCACAATTGTAGCAATCCATCTCGAAGATTGGCTTCCTTCTAGAGCTTGTGAACAACTTCTTCTTCTTGCCATTGAACTTGATGCCACTCTTGTTGAGCTTCTTTAGCATCTTGGAGGTTTTCTTCACCATGAGAGCAAGACTTGCATCATCAACTTCATCATCACTTGAGCTCTCATACTCAAGCCTTGCTTTGCCCTTCTCTTGGCTAGCTTTGAATGCTAAGTCTTTTTCTTTCTTCTTTGTAGAGGATGAGCCATCTTGAGGTGTGATGTGCATGTACATCTCATGAGCATTGATCTTTCCCAAGATTTGTGTCGGTGTAGCGGTGGAAAGATCACCTTGATGAAGCACGGTCATAATATGCCCATATTTGTCAATGGGTAGGACACTCAAGATCTTTCTTACAACATCGGATGATTGTATTTGAGTGAGTCTAAGCTCATTGACTTCCTCTACAAGAACATTCAAACGTGAATACATCTCATTAGCACATTCTTTGGGAAGCATTTCAAAAGAGTTGAGCTTTTTCATGACAAGATGATAGCGTTCCTCACGCTCACTCTTTGTTCCCTCATAGAGCGCACAAACGTCCGACTATAGTGCATGGGCGTCTTTGTGGTTCCTCACCCGATTGAATACATCTTTGCAAAGGCCTCTAAAGATGGTGTTTTGAGCCTTTGCATTCCATTTTTCGTAATTCACCTCATCGCCTTGTAAATGTGTAGCATCCTTAGGTTTTGGGAATCCTTGTGAGGCGGCTCTAAGTATTCCAACATCTAGAGCTTCTAAGTACGTCTCCATGCGAATTTTCCAATAAGGAAAATTATCCCCCTCAAAGATAGGAGGAGGTTCATCCCCGTGATACATCTTTCTCTAGGCGGTTAAGCCTAAATACATGAGCACGAGGCTCTAATACCAATTGAAAGGATCAAGATGCCTAAGAGGGGGGTGAATTGGGCTAATTCTAAATTTCTTTACAGTAATTAAATCCTACGGTTAGCCCAATTAACCCCTTATGTCTACAAAGTGTTTCTATTGATCTAACGCACAAAAGTTTAGCAACCTATGTTCCAATCCTACTCTAGCATGGCAATTCTAATAATGTAAATGACAAGAATTGAATTGCTTAAAGTAAATACTCAAAGTAAAGAGAGAAGAAGGAATGCGACGATGTTTTGCCGAGGTATCGGAGAGTCGCCACTCCCCACTAGTCCTCATTGGAGCACCCATGCAAGGGTGTAGCTCCCCCTTGATCCGCGCAAGGATCAAGTGCTCTCTACGGGTTGATTCTTCGACACTCCATCGCGGTGAATCACCTACAACCGCTCACAACTTGAGTTGGGTCATCCACAAGCTCTTCGGATGATCACCAAGCTCCTAATCACCACCAAGCCGTCTAGGTGATGGCGATCACCAAGAGTAACAAGCACGAACTCTCACTTGACCACAACAAGCCTAATGAGAAGGGTGGATGCACACTTTGCTACTCTTGATCTCACTAATGAGGGCGCTCTTTGGGATTCTCAAATCTCAATCACCTCATTAGGACCTTGCTCTTCTTGGCACTCTCTAAGGTGTTTCTCAGCTGTTGCAATGAGCAAAAAGTACCCCCACACACGAGTGGAGGAAATATTTATAACACCGGCTGAAAAACGAACCGTTATGTGCCTCTGCGGGGTGACCGGACGCTCCGGTCAGTACACCCCGAACTCCAGTGTTTCGGTCGTGATTTTCCCTCTCTGGAATCTTACTGGAGTCGACCGGACGCTGACCCTAAGCGTTCGGTCTCTTCACCTCTCAGCGTCCGGTCGCACCAAATGAAATCACCTTAGTCAAATGAACTGACCGGACCCTAAGCCAGCGTCCGGTCACTCCGGAGCTAGCGTCCGGTCAGTATTTGACCCTCCATTCACTTTCAACTCTCGATCATACGTGAATAAAGTTTGCTCCATTGGATTTAAGGGCTATTTTGGAACTAACTAGTGCTAGATTTAGCAAGTGTGCACCACACCTAACCCACTAGACTCACCTAGGTCAAGATACCCGTCCATACCCCCTTAATAGTATGGCCAAAGGAAAAACAAAGTTCTAAACTACTCTAAGTGTCTTTTCAACTCCAATCGACACTTAGAACTAGTCCATCCTTAATCTTGTCGTCCACCCTTTGAAAACCGAAACGATTTTCATCGTAGGGGCATGACCACCATGATCGCCCAATCTATCTCCATTACCATGACCTAACTTAATTGTCTCTGCAAAACACACGTTAGTCATAATAATTACGTATTATCATTAATTATCAAAACCCAATTAGGAGACTAGATGCTTTCAACATGTTTTATTGAACTATCATGCAGCAACCGAATTGAATCTGTTGTTGAGAAACAAAATCGTGGTTCTGATCTTTTCTGTACTGCTTGTGAGATGGCTGTTGTCTGGATACAGATTCAACTCCGAGAAAACAAGACAAAAGAGCTCATTTTGAATTATGCTAATCAGGTTGGGATACTTTGTTTTGTTTGGCCAGTTTTTTTATGATTGGGAATTGTGCTGAATGTGACAGCATTTCTTATTCTAATGTGCATTGCAGATCTGTGATCATCTCCCTAGCCCCAATGGTGAATCAACTGTTGATTGAGATCAGATCTCAAAGATGCCAAATCTTGCATTCAACATAGCAAACAAGACTTTAACCTTAACACCAGAGCAGGTAACTCCCTAGTTACATTTTATTAAGTGTTTGAATTAGTAGCGAAGCTGGGGAAACCATCATCTCATTTTCAAAGTTCAGTTCATTTATCGGATGTTCTTTGGTGCAAACATACTTGTTCTAGTTCTCTTGAATGACTGATTGCCTTTGTGCTGGAGTACATAGTGAAGGTGGAGCAAGTAGGACAAACCATCTGCATCAGCGGGTTTAAGGCATATGATGTACCACCTCCTCGTGGTCTTCTCTGGTAAGCTGAACATATATGTACATAAGTGGCAGTAATCCACACTCTAAAGTCTGTGGTTTCCTTAGCAAGAATGAAGCATGCAATCTGACCTCTGTCTTGTAAACATTCAGGAGACTGGGTGATGTTTTCATGGGTGCCTACCACACTGTTTTTTACTTCGGCATGCATTCTGACATCTGGCATTGGGTACCTTCTGCTCACAGACTGCGTGGAGAAGAGAGGCCCTGTGTTCACTGCTGCCTTCAGCCCGCTCGCTCAGATCTTCGTTGCCGGCATCGACCTCTTCATCCTCCATGAACATCTCTACCTTGGAAGGTGAGGTCACAATCACAACACCATGCTGCTCATCTCATCGACGATCTGCTTCCTAACTGCAGCCTAATTATTTTCACTGAAGACTGAACATGGTGCCGTTCCTCACTGAACATTCTCCCTACCTAACTGTTGCTTTGTGTTCTTCATCTTGCAGCGTGCTAGGATCAGTGCTGGTTATTCTCGGACTCTACCTTGTGCTGTGGGGCAAGAAAGAGGAAGGTGCTGCTGAGGCGGCGGCGAAGCCAGTTCAGGTGGCCGAGGTAGAACAGCAGGAGAAAGTGTGATTCCTTTTATTACTCATCATTCATCAGTGTGACAGAGCAGTGACCATAGCTAGAAGAATCCTGTGTGAGTGTGACAGAGTGCATATGATCTCCAAGGTCTTACTACTGCTTGTATTCTACTAGGTTATCCATATATCTCTTCATGCTATAAATTAAATTCTCTGAAGTGTTGAGAAAGAGGTTGCCAAAGTTCAGGCTTCACTATTTCATGGTAGTTTGAAACTGTAAAATTCTCTGTCTTGTAAATTATTGGTTCAAATTCTTGGTTGAAACTGTAAGTCAGCATCATCTAGAAATGCATGGTAGTTTGAATTTGAAAGTTTAAAATCAGCATGAGCTACACTTGGTTGGCGTCAATTTTTGAACTTCTCTAAAACCCAAATTTCTTTGGCGGGGTCGGCTGGAGGCTGGAGGTTGGAATTGGCTGGTTGGGCTGGGTCTTGGTCCAAATTTCAAAGACTACCAAAATAATTCAGCCCCCCCAACACAGGCTGAATAATATCTGCAAAGTGGTCCTTGACACGGTAAGATTCACCTGTAAACAAGTCCATCGAAATAGTTGTTTCACTTGTTGCTGTCTGCAGAGGCTCGGTGCTATGTATGCTGATTCTTGTTTCTGAAACGCAAATTGCATGGCCTGTCAACTAGGATCATGAGAGTGGACATGTAGGCCAGGTGTCACCCCATGCCTTCCTTGGATTCCGGGATACCAAGATCCAAGTCTACTATCTGATATCTTCTCGGTTGATTGCCTCGCTCTCTCCATCATCCCTTTTCCGTCGTCTTGAGTCTTGACGACTCACACGGCAGCAGCCTACTGTGGTCTGTGGTTACGCATCTCCTGGCTCCTGGGATACCACGGTCCAGACACATGCACGGAACACGCGTGGACGGACGGTCCTTTTGCTGCAGAAGCCACACGGCTTTTACGGCCGCTTCCAGTTGACACCGGCAGCGTCAGATCGCAGTCGCGGCGTGCCACATAAACACGTTCCCGTACGCCGCCGCCACGGATCGTCTCTCTTCTTCATGTGTCGCTTCTTTCTCTACCCGCGGCGGTTCGACGAGATGAATGCGGCAGGGCCGTGTACCGTAGCCCTATAAAACCGGCATTTGACGAGCTGGTATGACCGACCGGCAGTACCTCTCGGTTTTACGGCTAGGAGTGAGTGTACATGAGAAAAGTTTGGGGAGAAATTTGCTGAGTCGAGTCTTCGTCGTAGACTCGTACTAGGGCCACGTTTAGATTGCCTCTAAATTCTAAGTTTTTTCATTCTTTCTTTATTACATCAATTTTTGACGCATCGTTAGGGTGGTAGGTGAAAACGTGACGTGTCTGTGGATTTTTGTTTGCGTTGACCTTTGTGGCCCGGCACGGGACGGTAAAAATTTGCAATCTAAACCGCACCTAGGTAAGGTAAGTTAGGGTGGGTGACCGTGCCCGCTTGACCTTCGTGGCCCGGCTCCGGGTGCACCTGCCCGCTACCACCTGCTCCGTGCATGCTGCTACATAGGGAGGGCATTAGGGCATCGGCATAGGCCTGGGTTAGTTTGGCGTATTTTTTTTTAAAATAATACTATAGCACTTTCGTTGTTATTTAGTAATTAGTGTTCAATTATAGTTTAATTAGATTTAAAAGATTCGTCTCATAAATTTCGTCTAAACTGTGTAATTAGTTTTATTTTTTATTTATATTTAATGCTTTATGCATGCATCTAAAAGATTCGATGTGACGAAGAATCTTGAAAATTTTTGCAAAATTTTAAGTACTAAACAAGCACATATCGAATGAAACCTATGGGTCGCAAGGAACCGGACGCACCACGGACGGACGGGCCCTTTGCCTTTGCCGTGACGAACAAAAGGAACTGCGTCGGCCGGCCGGTCGACTGTAGCGCGACAGTTGAAACGTCATGTGGTGTTCGTTCATCTCGCGCTGAAGGGTGATGCACGGCACGGCAGGTCGGCGGTGCCGATTGCCCACTGCTCCGCTTCCGCCCCACCTCGCCAGTCGCCAGGACGACGGAGGGGGATTATTGGATACGCACGCCCTCCTGTTCGATCGTGGGCTGTCCCCGCCGGATCGAGCAGGGTGCATCCACGCCGGCGGAAGCGATGATAAGGCCGAGAGCGAGAGAGCGAGCCCCCGCCATGTGTGTGTGGGCAGCGGCCGACGAGCGGCGGGCTCCACGTACCCATATCCCACCGCACACGTTTCATATCTCCAATCTCTCAGTCCCCTGTATCTGTATTCATGGCCTCGTGTCCGTCCACGGTCCACCCCGATGGCGAGCGAGAGAGCGTATCGACCTGGGCATCGGATCCCTCTGCAACGGCACGTGACGATGTGGAGAAACGAGGTGGACACATCACACATACGCAGGCAGTACGCACCGTGGAGGGAACAGCAGGAGTGCCGAGTGCGTGCGTCTCTCTTGTCCGCATCCACCGCCAGCTTACCGATGCATCCATCATCCACGCACGCAGCCGCCGCTGGCTCGTTCCCCCGCCTTGCCCAGTTGCTAGTATGTGCCGCCGCCGTGTCCCGTGTGGCGTCGAATCAGAACATGCACGAGAAGTTGCAGGGGCTTCGCTGCAGAGTGTACGTACGACGAGATCCGGCAGGTGCCTCGAGGCCGCCAGCAGCAGCAGCAAGCAGCAGCAGACGCCACGCCACGCAAGAGTGCGATCACTGACCGTGGCCGCCACCGCCGGCCTCGTGCCGTGCGCGGCTGCGCGCGCACTTTCCGGTCATAGGACAAGGGTTTTAGGGGACACACCGGTGTTGAGTTGAGTCAGTGTGACCCATTTGGCATTTGCAGTTGTTGTCTAATGGTGGGCACCGGTAGTTCCACGGCGGGGCATCTCGATGGATGGGGTAGAATTAAAATTCTAATCCCTCGTCGCATCAGCTGGGACCCAAAGCGGTATCTTAGCATCTCCGGTTTGTAAGACTAAGACCTTGTTTAGATACCCTCAAAATTCTAAGTTTTTTCACTCTCTCTCCGTCACATCAATTTTTAGCCGTTTGCATGGAGCATTAAATGTAGGTAAAAAAATAACTAATTGCACAGTTTAGTTGAAAATCACGAGATGAATCTTTTGAGTTTAGTTGGTCCACGATTGGACAATATTTACCAAATAAGACGAAAGTGCTACTATTCATCGGGTTGAAATTTTTTTCAATCTAAACAAGGCTTAATTAGATTTAATAGATTTGTCTCACAAATTAACCTCTATTTGTATAATTAGTTTTGTAATTAGCCTATGTTAGTTGGTATCAAAGATCCGATGTGGCACCCGCAGGAACCAAACCGGACCGTCATCATTGTTTCTTTATCTTGAGATGAGTGATCTTAGTGGTACTAAGAGTTTTAGGATTTGATTACCGGATGCTGAATCCTGCGCACCAATGGTAGTTTCGTGTTTTTAAAAATATATTGTTTGGAGCACGCAACGAGAATATCTTTTGGGCCAATGCTTCAGGAGTCTATGTAGTACTAAAGTATATATGTGTACTATCTTGGTACCAAAAAAATCAAAAATGAAACGATCCAGACCGATGAAATCTGATGTTTGGGAGTTGGTTGGCCAGTCTACCCTGTGTCTGTTCAACCATTCACATAATAACTAACCATAGGATTTGGTGTAAATGGCACTCCTAATGAACTACCATGTCAAGTGTCAAGTTCCACATTTTAATAAGAGTCTACTTTGAACAATGAAGCGGAGGACCCGTGTTTAACAATTCCTTAGGCAATTTTTTGATCTATTGAATTTTATTAGTAGATGCTAACTTGTGGCCTTGTGGGGTTGTTACCCAGACAAAACAAAGTCCACAAAATTGTGATGATCGAGGTCGTGCACCGTTCAACTAATATTACTATGCTGGTCCTGATCTGCTATTATTCTAGTGAGTAATCTGCAAAGATGAAAACCATATCCAACGGATCATGATTCTGAGCCATGATCCATTCTTCACGATGCTTGCAACTACCTCCATGGACGAATTGACGTAGCAAGTTGGAGAGTTAAATGAGAAAAAAAATTATTTGACACTTGAAAAACTTTCATATTTGACACGTAAACTTAAAATCTTTCCTATTTGTCACCCCTTCAATTTTTCTTTGTTTTTTTTACAACATCAATTTTTTCTTTGTTGTTTGGCACTTCTATTACAAAAGTACTCATGTATCTTTCCTCAACAGTCTTAATATTATATTTTACATACCTTAATTGAGCAAAATAGCACAACTCTAACAACTTTTATTTTGCGCGAGCTAAATAGGATACCCATATAATTTTTTTAAGTCCTTGGACCTCTTTGTAAATTAATTTTTTGGAACATTTTGTACATTTTCTTGGAGATTTGTAGTTTTCTCTCTTTTTTTTTACCAAAAGTATCATGGAGTTCAAGTTATAATTGTATACATAAGACTTGTATCTTAAAGGTAGCCTCTTTTGTTGTGATGATTTATAAAGAAGGCTACATTTTAAGATACATCTTTAGGTATACAATTAATTATTACTACTAGAATTCAATGATGTTTTAGGTAAAAAGAAGAAAAACTACAAATCCTCAAAGGAAGGTATAAAATGATCCAAAAAATTAATTTACAAGAGGTCCAAGAAACTAAAAAAATTGTGATATTGGTTTATCAAGGATTATAGTTCACCAAGAGAAAATTGACGGCTTAACTTGATTTCACATGAAAAGGAGATAAAGATGACAATAGCTTTAAGGCAAGAAATATAGTGACTATAGTTACATAAAACTTGTGCAATAGAGCGCATGGAGAGAGAGTATCAATATAATCACATAAAAACTAAGAAAAAGATAGCTGCCCGCAAAATGCTAGACTAGTTAGGATCTATTTGGATTCACTGTGATTATGATAATAGGTTAAAATAATCTAATTATGCTCCAAACAAACTAGATTGTAAGGTGGATTATTATAATGAAAACATCATATTATAATAATATTACAATCCACCTTGTACTTGCTTTTTGTTGATTATAAATATTTCTCACTTGAACTAAACATAATCTAATCCATGAACTCAAATACTCCGACTATAATCTAAAATACAATAATTCCATATATAATCTAGATTACGATAATTCAGCTGTGATCAAAGAGACCTTGCTAGCAAGTAACAATGCATTTAAAGTGGCACCGTACGTGCATGGACCCTCACAATCTTTATCCCTCCCCAGTCCCATAATAAGCACCGTATTTAGTGGATCTGATCAATGCATCCCGGATTTCGTACCTGCACAGCAAAGTGACAAACGCCCCCACACATCTAAACGCCGCAGCTCGTACTCGGATTTGCATCTCGGCATCTGCATGGACCATGGGTGTGCGCATCGGACGTGGATCCGGTCGTGACAGTGCGAGTTTTTTTATTATTATTATTTTTAACTATGCGAGATTAGCGAGCCGTGCTGCTGGGCGCTGCAACGAGCACGAGCGCAGGCCGCGGAACGAGAGGCTGGCTGGGTTTCAAAATTTTGTGGAGGGAAAAGAGCCGACGCATGGACCGAGAAGAGTCAGCGTGCCTGTTTCGGCTGTTGGCTGTTGCTCCCAACAGCCGACGTGTAGCCCTGCCTGCGGACTGCGGTAGCCGTACTCCGTTTCGCGTTGACAGGCGTTCGTTCGGTCCCTCGCGTTCCGAAGGGCGATGTGCGAGATTCCCACGTGGTGCGCCCAGCCCCCGCCGCGCCAGGGCAGCGGGCAGGGCAGGGCAGGCCCGCCCCGTCCGTCGCGCCGCCTGCCGCGGACGCCCGTCGGCCGTCGCACAATCGCATTTGCTGCGGTGGACTGTGGTGCCTGCCCGCGCCACGCGACGGGAACAGATGAATATGCGCGCGGCAGGGACGAGATCGCGCGGTGGTGCCGTGGTGGTGGTGGGGTGCGGCGCGAGCAAAGACGCACACGAGGCGCCTGTGAGTGAACGTAATACTGCGTGGGCCGGGCGGAGGTGCGGCGCGGCCCCAGCCCCAGCACAGTGCTCCCCTGGCCACCGCTGCCGTCACGGGGCCTCACGAGCTCACTTGCAAGCGTCACCGCTACAGCAAAGGCAGACGGATTTTTTATATATACAAAATGTTGCTACGAGCTGCTCACCAACTGACACAGTGATTATCCGTAAGCATGTGGCGCTGCTGACGCGACGGGCCACGCAGGTTTGGCGCAGATCACAAATCGGCAGCGTTGTGGTCTGGGAATTGGATGCCCGTTTTTTTTTATATATATAATATAATATTGTACTACTCCTACTACTCTGTAGGATAGACAAACGCTGTCACAACTACTAGTAGCAGCATCATCATCTACGGCATTGTAGGTTTTTTTAAGCATTTTCGCATTCCAAGAAACAATATATTTTAAAAAAATATTAATATTTATAGTACATAATTAATATGATCGAAAATATCTTTAAATTTAGTTTTTTAATAAATTTATTTAGAAATACAAATATTACATATATTTTCTACCCATCGAGTTCTCGCCTCGTAGTCGTAGTTGTCACGGTTAATTTAGGACGGACGAGTAGGTTTGAATTTCCAACAGGAGACGGCAACGAGACCAAAAGCAAAAGCAGGTTCTCGCCTAGTAGTTGTCACGGTAGCAGTAGGAGTATTTTTTCTTCTTCACAACAGGAAAGGAAAAGGTAAAGCAGATGCAGATGCCTCCTCCGAATTTTTAACGATTGACAATATCACGTCCGGTCCGGGCAGTATTCCGCCGCCTGCCTTTTTCCGCCCGCCTGCAAGACCGACCGTACGTACACCGAGGGAGAGAGAGTGACTGATGAGAGGAGGAAAAGGGCGAAAGGGAGCACGGCCACGGCAGCCCAGCACGCTGCGCCCCTCTACGGACTACTGGTATTAATAAATGCCTGCAATAATAATAAAGAAAGAGGCGTACAAATCCTAGGGTGGTGGTGTCGGTGTGGGCCCGAGGGTTTTATCGGTTTGCGATGGGGCTGGCGCGTCCCTTGTGCACGCCGGGCCACCGTGGGAGAGAGAAGGGCGTGACAGACTCCAGAGGAAGAGGGGACTGGGAGAGAGAGAGTACTAGTAGGGCACAGGTGTGTGTGTGTGTGTGGGGGGCCAAGGAGGGAGAGGCATCCATCATCTGCTCCTCGTGATGCGCGCCGCTCATTGCTGCAGAGCGCTGCCGCTTTGGCCCTCGCCCACCTGAAATCTTCCTCTTCCTCATCCCCATTCTCTTCCCCCCCACTCTCGCCGCTCCTCGCCGCCGTTTCGGGGGCCAAAAACCCTAGCACATCCTCGCTCGCCGCAGTCAGCTTCTCCAGGTGGGAGCACCGCGCGCCGCCGCCGCCGCCGACCGAGCGCGGGCCGCACCAGCTCCTGCCGCCGCCGCCACCGCCACCCTTGCGCGTGCCGAGCCAGCGCCAGCGGCCCCGGGTGCCGCCGTCCGGTAAGATCCTCCGCTCAAACCCCCCAGCTCCTCTTGCAGGCCATCTTTCTGTTTCTTTTTGGTTTTGTTTTTGGTTTGGGTTGCTGTCTTTGTCCAAGTCGTAAGCATATCCCCCAGATTTTGGGGGGTGTTTACTCGTCTGCTTGCGTCGTCTTCTCCCTCAACGCGCAGGGGTTTACGGATCTTGCATCATTTTGCTAGGAAAAGAAGGGGAACACCCTGCCTCAGCCTCACCTACCGCATCTCTGTTGTTCCTTTTGCTATCTCCCTTTATTTTCATTTTATTTTAAAAAAATCTTAGCTTTGGAGCAGGTAAGAGAAAACGGCCGGACGTTGGACACCAAGATCTACAGGCCTTAAGAGTTTTTTAAAGACTTTTCTCTACCATTTTGCCAGTTCCGTCTGTTTTTCCCCGTTTTATTGCCTGATTCATTTCATATTTCGTTCTCGTTTAGGACTCCGTGATGCCGGTTCTTGACCCGGGAAAGCGTCTTCTCTTCTGTTCACCGAAGCGCAGGCAGCCGTGGGTCCTGATGCCTTGAAATGGAGCAGCCGTTCTACGGCCGGCCTCCAACCCAGATGAAGGTTCAGCTCGTGGAACAGGAGGGCTCGAAGAGGATGGGTTCTTCCGGTTGCTCGGAGATAGTCGAACTGGTGGACGAGCCGAAAGATGCTCGTCAGGGTGGGCTTACCCACCTGAGGGTGAGGGTGAAGCCAGTGGGGCAGGAGCATGGGGCGCGGTCGTGCTCGGTGGAGGATGATCTTGACCAGCTCATCAGATCGATCAACGTGCGCACGTCGGCGAGGGCTTCTGGGCAGACGAGCACAGATAGGCGGCTTATTGCGCTCGGGAAGTCACCGGTATCGAGCTCGGAGATTGTGGAGTCCGTGAGCCTGAAGCAGGCCCTGAGGAAGATGTGCATCTCCCAGGCGTCGGAGATGGCAGCCATGAAGAGGCTGTCGAAACCGACAGGGGTGTCCACCCCTTCTGATTCTGGGGCAATCAAGAAGCTGTATGGCTCTGCTGCAGTTCAAACCAACGAGGAGCAAGATGACAAGGCTAAGGCGGGGAAAGCTTCTATGCTGCCTGAGAAATCAGCAGGAAGTTCAGTGGGTAAGCCAAGTGAAATCAGTAAGGGGCAGAGCAAGAGCTTGGCCAAGAAGAATTTGAGATCAGCATCTCCTACCACAGGCAAGGTTCATAAAACCAGAATCCAAGATGTGATCAGTAACAAGTCATCAGAGGGGGTTGAAGACATTTCTGTAGGAGCAACACTGCCAAAACAGAGAAAGGGAAAATCTGTGAAAACATCTAGCCCCCGGGCTGTTCCAGTAGGTGGCTTGCGGCTGGTGAGTCCAATGTTTCGGAATAAAACTTCGACGAAAAAGAAGGTCAAACCTGAACCTGCTATAGTGCCCGCATCACACAAGCATTGTGAGACGAAAGGTCCTAAGTCTCACACTAGTAAACAGGAGTCCCTTCAGGATGAACCCAGAACCCCAGCACCAACTAACAAGAAGGCTGCTGTCAGCTCCACCACCGTTGATGGAGCTGATTTTGGCACAAAAGGATGTGGTCTTGGTGTGATCCATGGCTCGAAGGTTGGGGAGTTGTCAAGATCAAAGGAGAAGGGCGAATGCTCCCAAAGCTCTAAGAGTAGCATCGGTGATTATAGCACCAGTACAAGCATCAGTGAGGACAGTTATGGCAGCTTCAGTGCTAACGGAAGCAGGCCACACATGTCAAAGGATGTGAGATGGGGAGCCATCAGGCGCATGGCTATCCAACAAGGGAGCTTGGGATTGAAGAACTTCAAGCTTCTCAAACAACTTGGTTGTGGGGATATTGGCACTGTTTATTTGGCTGAGTTAGTGGGCTCAGACTGCATGTTTGCATTGAAGGTTATGGACATTGATTTCCTCATAAGCAGAAAGAAAATGCTCAGAGCACAAACTGAGAGGGAGATACTGCAAATGCTCGACCACCCATTCCTTCCAACTCTGTATTCTCATTTCACGACGGACAACCTTTCTTGTCTGGTAATGGAGTTTTGCCCTGGTGGTGACCTACATGTTCTTAGGCAGAAACAACCTACCAAAACCTTCTCGGAAGCAGCTGCAAGGTATGGACCTTCAGTGGTGTCATAAATTTTCTTATTCACTATTACACATGAATTTGTCATGATTGAGCTACTTTACCAAGAACTAAAAACGGTGATTATATAATCTCACTGCATTTGCTACCAGATAGATGTTTTTTGTTCAGCGATAGTATATCATGCTATTGTAATCCAATATTTTACATTTTTTTTATATAGGCTGCATTTTACTACTGAGTTATTGTAACTTACAATTTATATGTTTCATTTTAGTACTGAGCTATTGTAACTCAAGAGATCTACATTTTGTAGGTTTTATGTTGCTGAAGTCCTCTTAGCCTTGGAGTATCTCCATATGTTGGGGGTCATATACCGTGATCTGAAGCCAGAGAACATACTTGTTCGTGAAGACGGGCACATCATGCTCTCAGACTTTGATCTGTCTCTGAGGTGCTCAGTGAGCCCAATGCTTGTGAGAACATCATCAGTAGGCAGAGATGAGCCCAGTAGGCCTTCTGGTCCCTGTGCACAAAGCTGCATTGATCCCCTGTGTATCCAGCCGTCCTGGAGCAATTCGTCCTGCTTCACGCCCCGACTGGTTGCGTCTACACCATCAAGGACACGGAGGCCTAGAGCTGAGCCCCTGAAGAAACCATCACTTCCACAGCTTGTTGTTGAGCCCACGGAAGCAAGATCGAATTCGTTTGTTGGGACCCATGAATATCTTGCCCCAGAGATCATTCGAGGAGATGGCCATGGTAGCTCGGTTGATTGGTGGACTCTTGGAATCTTCCTTTATGAATTACTCTACGGCAAGACACCATTCAAGGGGCCTGGCAATGAGGAAACACTCTCGAATGTGATCTCACAGGGCTTGAAGTTCCCTGACAACCCAGCTGTAAGCTTCCACGCACGAGATCTGATCAGAGGGCTGCTTGTGAAAGAGCCGGAGTACCGGCTCGGCTCGTCGAGGGGAGCCGCTGAAATTAAGCGGCATCCCTTCTTCGAAGGCCTGAACTGGGCCTTGATCCGGTGGACTGCGCCACCAGAGACCCCGAGAAACAATGATACTGCAGCAACACTCGCGACGACACGCAAGAAAAAGGAAGGCAAATGTCTGGAATTCCGGCTGAATGGCGACGACATCGAGTTCGAGCTCTTTTAGTTGTAGCTGTAGTGGTATCACTGCTGTAGTCCCAAGGATATATCAGTATCATGATAAGCTAGCAAGAGTAGTCTTAGTGTCCCTCTTCCCTGCAGTTTTCTGTTGAAAGTTAGTCATCCTCGGTCACTACGGACGTTGGGAAGTAACGTAAGGTTGGCTGTTAAGCCTGTAACTTTATGCCTTGTTAATACCATCAAATATTAGAAGACACGGTTGGGAAATTCTTGGGCATGTGCGAGATGCAACTAGAAATGTAGAATGTGCTGGATGAAACAGTTTGTGCCTCGCTTACTTGCTAACGCTAGGAAATAGTGACTCGTAGTCGAAGTGAGGTCTGTAACTTTGTTTCATGTAATAACGTAGTAGTACTAATGTACAAAGTTAGGAGCACGGATTCGGCAGTTATGTGAATTTCCTGCTACCTTCTGTACAATTACGGGCATTCTTTACTGATGAACAGGTGTGTACCGATTATGGTCGCAATCGCAATGTACCGTTGTGTGACTAAAGCCTTGATGGCGTCGGTTCACCCGCTATTTGACTATAACCACACTGCACTGTGATCTTTTCGTTACTACAGTAAACACCGAAGCCATCATCCAACGGAGGGAGGAGGCCGAAGCAAAATGGGCGTGGCTAGCGTTTGGACGCTCATGCCGCTGCTCCCCGTCTCGAGTCCTGTACCTGCCGACCCACGTATCGCCTCCTTCGCCCGCCCGCAAGCACGTGGGGCCCACCCGCGCCAGTGTGGTCCGCCTTCGCCTTCCGCGCTTGACACCAAGGCGAGACACCAGAAAGGCGAGGAAGGAGATGCAACACTCAATCTAGTTTTAAAACATCCGGATGCAATAATTACAACATACGTCTCAAAACAAATAAAACATTTGAAATATGCGTCTGAAACACTTGTAAAAACACCTGAAACCATTATAAATATACGCAACATCTAGATAAAACACTTGGATCATATGTGTCGGGGGTATAACCTCAGGGTTTCTCAAGACACCGATTAGTTAGCAGGCCAAGCGACCCACGACACATCAGTTAGTGAAGGCCCGAACGACCGAGGCCCAGTAAGTCAACCAAAACAGACCTGACGCCAAGGTCAGGGTCGGCCATGACCCTTCCTCCCGCATTAGCCGCACGACGCACGAGAGACGCACGACCTCTCCACCACCCCAACCCCTAGGAGGAACGGGGAGAGGTTGAGCGTCACTAAGCATTCCTGCTCTGACAAGAACAAGCACGCCGCACTGACCTCACAAGGACCAAGGGGACAACGGTCACCTCGGTCCGGTCAGACACCACCCCTACGCCACGCAGTCCAGACAAGACAACACCACCCAAGGCAGTGACGACCGGTACGATGACCACCGGCCAGATACGGCCCGACAAGACGTATGTACGATCCTATCCACTATGGGATGGGATCCATGACGATGGCCTTGACTTAGAGGCCAATCAGACTGGCGGGTGCCATGACCCCAACGATCGGGATCATGGCCCTCAGCCCCTCAAGCCAACAAAGCAATCAACAACCCAGAGGCGGCTACCAACTCCTGTATGACGCCCCAGGAAACCAGGAGACGATGACGAAGACCGCGGCGAGGACCACGTCGCACAGGACAGTTGGTGAACCACCACCGTGCCTACAGTGCCACCACGGCCGGCACAGTAGCACCACATCATACCATGCCGCGAAGTGGCCACAAGATCATGACGACAACCACGCCCTGACGTGTTCCACAAGACGGCATAGCTTACAAGCCCAGTTAGATAGGACCTCCCTCAGGCTCACGACCCTTCGGTCGGGAGAACCTTCTTCTTTGTATAAGCCCTGGCCTCGAACTCTATATAAGGGCAGCCTGGGCACCCATCTAGGAGATCCCCTACCATTTTATTCATTCCCCATTGTAGTAGGCCTCCGGGAGCTTCCCTTCAGGCAGTCCATCTCCTTGCTCTAGCTCTCCAACCTCTTCCACCATTCTTGCACCCCCCATTATAAGAACTTCAGAGCATTCAAGCGAGGAACATGCACTCGATCATCTCTGAGACTGGACGTAGGGCTCTGGCCTAAACCAGTATAAATCCTTGTGTCTTTTGGATGCTTCCATCGTCTTTCTAGAGCAGCACGACAATCGTATAAGTTTACTAGTCCGGTTTATAAAACACCGACATTTGGCGCGCCAGGTAGGGGACAGTCGCGCACTCTCGTTGTTAAGAAGGAAGTGATGGCTCCTCGCATCGTTGGTGGACTCGCTAGCGAAATGGCCCACGGAGGCCACATCCACCGTGAAAACTACGAGTTCACCGGCGTCAGAGGGCCAACGCCCACGTCCGCCTTCAACCGCATCCTAGACCTCCGCCCTAGAGATCTAGACCCGGCGGTTTACGGCGGACACACTTTCAGAACTATCCTCAGTGACAACATCCTAGAGTTTACCTACATAGGGAGGTTAGAACCCTCCCTCGTCACCGATCACGGCCAAGTCTTCCACCCAGGAAGCCAGAAGACCATGGCTCGTGACAAACTCATCCAGGCAATGGCCTCAACCGGCCACATCCTTTTGGGAAACCATGAGGTTATTCGCACTAATGGGTCAGCACCCATCACCAGCCTCTACCTCATCCAGGCCAACCGCGTGGGAAGCCTAGGACCGGCGGTAGAACCACGCCCCAAGCAGCGTCTTCGTAACCAGCGGAGCGTCGCTTGTCAGGGCGCGCATGAGCAATGAAATCACCCGCTGCTACGTGGCATCGTCACAAGTGATCAAGTGGCTACCCAGCACCACGCCTTGTAAGGCCAAGCCTAGAACCAGAACCCAACCCTGGTTGGCGGACAAACCTCCCATCACGCCTCAGCGGACTGTCAGCTGTCACTCGAAGGTGCGTGCATCCGATGAAACGGGCTCCCTGAGCGCACCATGTGTCGTGTCGAGCGGACTGAACCGAGTTGCATTTAGATCCCACTTCCACAGCGACAAGTCATGCCAGCTTCTCATCGAGAGTGGCAACTGCACCCAGAGGCGAGGATGCGATGACCGCGATGTCGTCACGCCACGAAGGCTCAAGCATCAGAATGCACGAGCCCTCCTAGCCAGAAGCCACAATGGGCCTAACTCGAAGAAGTCACCCTTGGGGGCTCGTAAGCCCGCCGAGGACGTCGAGCCAGCAAGGGTCGACCCAAAGCCGTCCGAGAGGTCAATCCGCGCCAGCTGCGACCATCCCAAGCATTGAAGAAGCGCTCTCATCAGCTCATGGCCCGAAGACCGCAACGACTTTGTCACAAGTAGGCGCCCGGGGGCTCGTCGTACCCCTAAGCAATGGCAACCAGCCTCGCGACAGCTTCTGGTACAATGGTCAGCCACATCCACCTTGACCTTAACGTCTCTGCCTAAACACGTCCACATACACGTACAAGCCCGCCAATAGTTGTAGAAACCTAGGGCCCACCCGTAGAGCAAACCAAACAACATGATGCTCATATGTTATGTCCTAGTAGCGCTTAACCCCCGAGTGACTCGATCTAACTCGGCTCACAGCTGGACATGACTCACTCGCGGGGGCTACACATGTAGATACATACGCGCGACCTATGGCACAGCACTGTTTGTCATCGTCCCTGCGACCAGTCCATTTTAGACTCCTTCTAATCGTACCTCTCGTCGTGATGATTTGGTGACCCATACCTTGATCTCCTGCTCGTACGAATTTGAAAGGAAATGGAGAACTCGCTCACTCAAGGCGAAAGGAGCGAAAGGAAAGGAATCTGTTGCTGCCTGATCAGTTTCTTCTCACTTCGTGCCGGATCTGCAACCTACTCTTGACGCCTCGTTGCTCCAGCGGATCGTGCTCCCTTTAACCCCGTGGGCCAGCCCCCAGATCAAAATGCGCACCCACGAGCACATGACCAGGGGGAATGAAGCACATTCCAATTCGAATGAAAAGAAAAATGAAAAGGCAGCAAAATAACAAATGAATGCGCCGATCACGCATCATACACACATAAAACATAGACATGTTCATCAGAACAAGAACACCCTTACAACACTAGATGCCCAAAAATGCTCACACACCGAAAGACTGGTACTGGAGGCGAATAATCGCCGCAAACATCTTGCTCATGAGGACCTCCACGCCTCGAGCGGTGGCACTGCTGATGGCGAGGATATTGCTCTTGGATTTCCCAGGCGCATACCCTCGTCCGACGGCATCGAAATCGATGCCACCATAATGTGAACCGACCGATGTCAAGGCGACGAGAGCACTGTAGCGAACTCCCTCAAAAATGAGGGAATCCACTTGGAAACAGGCCTCATCAAGATGAGACACTAGCTGGGTATGCCCCCGGTTGGTGCCGAGCACAACATCATAGAGAGCCTAACCGGAGGCGGTCAGCGCTACCAGCCGATTATCCATCTCTAGCATCCTCTGGTGCATGGCCGCCTTCTCCTCCTGATCCAAGAGAGCCCTTGTGCGCAACCCTGAAGAGAGACATATCGGTTCACTACCGGGCACAATGACAAAACAGAGGCGCAATGCAGTGTCGACAAAGACTCACCACTACAGGCAGAGCGCAGTCTCTGGCATTCAGCTTCGAGGCGCTGGTGCCCCTGCTCGGCCATGTCACAAGCAGCGCCAGCCGAGGCGAGCTCCGTCTCTTGGGTAGTTATTGTGTCCTTGAGGCCAGCCATCTAGGACGTCAGAACCTCGACCTGGGATTGGACCCGTTGTCACAGAACCGACCAATTTATAAGAGCACAAGTACAATAGCAGCCCGCAAGCGGTCACACTATCATACTTGAGTCCATATAAACCCGGTAGTCCGTCAAGTACCACGATGGGTCTCGATAAACAATCCACATACAACTAAGATTGTACATGATTCAACATACATGTCACATGTTACATAAAGTTCACATATACCATTCATTCATCAGAGTACAAAATAGAGTTATTACAAACCAAGTTCGATAGATAGTAGCGGAAGCAAATTAAGG